GCATAATATACACAAACACACACACACGCCTACCAAAAGAATAAGGACACATAGGAAAAATACACATATTGTCAAAGAAATAAGATTTATGCACTGAAATGTACAAAATATTATGTTTAAAGAAATTGCATATCTTCATTATATCTTGTAATAATTATTCGGATGATCATGGTTGCGTGCACATTCTCTCATTATCTCTGGCATTGTATCAATGATCTGCCATCAAAGTTGACAACTTTCAGGTTCAGTTCTTCCTTAGTTTAAGGCTTCTTCAGCAATATGTATCCCATTGTACTCCATTATTCTTCTATATGATTTAAGTCCGGACTTTTGGCAGACCATGGCAATACTTCAAACATCATTCTCCAGCAACCAAATACTTGTCACACGAGATTTGTGAGCAGGTGCATTATCCTGCTGGAAGTTGAAGTTGGGTCCAAGGTGCTGTGAAACTGATGGCAAGATAACTTCCTCCAAAATTCGGCAGTAAGACCGTCTGTTCACAGAGCCAGCCACAATATATCAGGTTCCGGAGCTTTCAGATGTGATGACGCCTCATATGAATGACGCTCGGCGACTTCATCACCAATCCGCCTGCAGGCCCGTCCAGTTGGTTTCCTGTTATTCCCTCCCTCAGGACTCCCAGGAAGTGTCCTCGGTGGTCGGCAGGCTGGCGTCGTTCGGCTCGCAGCGCCCAAGCGACGTGCGTGCCACTCCGTTTCTCTCCCTTAAAAACTGTTCATGAACGCACTGTGACGTTACTATGTGAGAGCGCGAGGTGAAACTTGAGAGCTGCTTTAGTTTGCTGCTTATCGACTGTTCCACAATTAACACTCCCACTAGTCTTGTAAATGCACTGAATGTTTTTACTCGGGAGGTGGCGGTGATCTTCCTCGCTAATGGTGAGATCCGGCGCCGACCTGCCGTCGGCAGCGGGGTTTTTCCACAACCAGGTATCTCCCACAAGTGGGGCACCGCCCCCCAGCCGGGACAAGCTCTAAGCTTCCGACCGGTCTCCCAGCATGGCGGTTGTGTAATGTATGTAAGTGTAAGTAAAGGGTGAGGATAGGACAAGGAAGAAGGAAAGATCGTGCGCGGTCCGTGATCCGTTTGTTGGGGTACTGCTTTTGCATTCGCCTGGCGTTGATGGGAGAAACCATGGAAAACTACCGATCAGAGCAGCCGGCCGCTAGAATTCTCCTCCAGGCAGCAAAAGAACTCTACCTAACTATCTAGCTACGGACGAAAATCCTGTCACCATCGGGACTTGAATCAAGGAGCTCCCGATCAGAGGCACTGCAGTGACATCACTTCATGTCCTGAGCCACCTCTCCCGGTCAGAAGCTATTTAATTCGGATGTTTGCTTACGATATTTTAAACACGGAGCGTGACGCTCGTATGAAATATCCAGATACGAGAGATAGAATTATCAGGATACCAAATAGTGTATGTTGCAGGGTAAATTTCATGTTCATGATTTTTTCTAAGTGATAGTACACCATTTCATGGAACAGGACGGTTAGCTAGCGGGAGCGTAACCAGTTGAAATAGAAATGTCCATCACACATGTGTGGAATTAATCAACTGTAAATAGTCTGTGTAATATTAGGTTTAGGAAAATAAGTTTGTTTATTTAATAATTGTATTGGTATCGCGGGTAATTGATTACAGGGCGATAATTTTTCAATTCTGACTTTCTGATTCTGATTCTTCGTAGTCGACTTCTCCGCGAATTGTAAGCGCCGCGGAAGTCATCCAACAAATTTAACAAATCTTTGCAAAGAGCATATTAGATAGACATTTAAGGCTAAATGTACCGACAGTGGCCCAATACGTCACCACCATGTAGCAGCATCAAAATAAGCCAAAATCACTTTACTAATAACATCTGAAGAAATTGTCCCATTTTCAATAAGTAAATGGCATTTTATTCGTATTTAATATAGAATTTACGCTACGGAAGCCCCTTTGAAATCGCTGGCTCGCTGCCCTTTTTCGCTTTATACTTCCCGCTCCACCTCCGCTATCGCTGCTACTGATAATTTTTGAGCCCCCAAAGTCACCTCAGTTTACGGGACTTGTTCAAAGGATCACAAGGTAAAAATTGGAATTATTTGAAATCACAATTTTTTATGATAAATTAGGTTTCTTACTTCTGTTACAGCGGATGCGAGAACGTTTGCCCCAATCATAACACCAGTGGTGTGATTTGTGAAGTGAAGTACAATGAAATGAAATAAAATAAACTAGTTGTTAGTAATCATAGAGATTTTTTGATATTTATGTTGGTAATACTGTAAAACTGATCCAACAGCGCCATCTGTGGCGAGTGGCTTCGGTTCCTAGTTCAGATTGAGCTCAGTAGTGAAGTGCGTTTCAATGTAAGAACATCTAGCAATAAAGATCAATATATTAAGCAAAAGGCAGTTTTATGTTTCATTTCAAGACATCATCACTCACACTAGTGATGCTACAGAATGGCACAGACATACTCATACTAGTTCGTTTCCTAATTTCTTTGTTCTGGGCTATATTTTCGTTTTTGCTTCACCCTCTTCACAGCTGCCATTCATTGCCCCCTGAAGATCATTTTTTCACATTTTTCCAATTTTTCGGTCCCATAATGATAGAACTGAAACATGACTTTAAGAATACTATAGAAAAGTAAAACCTTATTATTTATTAAATTTTGCCTAATTTCACTGTACGATGCACCTATTCATCATATTTAGACAAATGATATAGAGTTGGATTGAGGAAGCACTTCGCCATCGCACTATAAGCTCACATTTTTTCACAGAACTATTTAAAAAAATGCTGTTTACCGATTGAAAATTGAACCACTTGTTTAGAAGTTATCGGTAATGTAAATTCCCCTATGCTGCAATCTATTGAATTTTCCTATAAGTATTTTTCGGTACATTTAGACTTAAAAGACATCAGTAAATTAAATAAATTAATATTTCGATCAAATAGCATGCCAACAGAATTGCTCAAAAGTAAGTTTTGTAAATACAATGACAAATTCAATTAAGAGAATGTTGAATTCAATAAATGCTGTAAATATTTGTACTGGAAGAAAGCTGATTCATTTGATAGTTAAGACTCCACAGACCAACCATTTTATTAATTTATTTTGGACAATAGTTTTCAGAGAATACCCACCCTATACGAGATGGGTCTACGTATTATTCAACCATGTTAGAAATTTGTTTAAAGTTGGAAACGTTTTCAAACATTCATAAAAAAAAGTTTTCAAGAGGACTTGCCTAGCATATGAATCTTTATATCCATAAAGATTAAAAAGAATGTTTCCAAATAATTTCCAACATGGAGCCCCCAAAGAGAACATTTCAATATTAATATATCAACACAAAATTAGCTAACACAATCTGCTCAGAAGACTGCAAAGGTGATGAAAGATGCACCATTCATTCTAGAATATAAAACTGCTTACGATGAAGAATTGCATCAGATCAACGCTAGGCAACGAACAGAGAATGTCCTCAAAATTCATGAATTTGCAAAAGGCTTATAAGAAACACCCTGGCATAAGTGAGACCACCAAAAGAGATTTAGTGTACATATTGGATTCTAACTAGATTCCTTCCCAGTATCATAACTATTATAGAAATATCATTACAGAAAACTCAGAAGATTGTGAAACATTGTAACATTAAACAGGTTGTATAAGTGATAGTTCCTCTTCTAAAACAAAATTCTTAAGTTGAAATAATTTGTTCCTATTATTATGTCAGCTTATTCATTGAAAGTTAAATACAGATTTACATATGCAGCCACTAAAATAATGGAAATAGTGAAAATTTGTGTCCACCATATCTTCAATAACACCTTACCTATTCAACAAATACTGAGAAGAAAACTGCCATAACTGAAACTATTATTTTTAAATTAAAAAAAGGAACAGACATGCAGTCAACACAAGGTATTTGTAATTTATAGTGAATTATTAAAGAATGTTAAGTTTAATATACATTATTTTCACTTTCCTGAAATAATGTTTATTATATTTTCAATTGTCTCAAAATCTTTACAGGCTTCTCCTGAAAAACTGCTCATTTTGATTTGTGGCAGCCTTCCACTGGGGGTGTTATATGTGAAAGTCTAGTTTTACTACCCCTATCCACAAATTGGGAAACAATTTGGATGACACTACAGACCGATCTCAATCCTAAGTACAATACTCAAGTTTTTTGAATCCATGAAACTGAAATACTTTATAAGATTGTACCACATACATTGTTAGATAGACAACATTGACTTAGGCACAAGCGATCTATCAATACAAATCTTTTATATTTCAATATGTAGTTCTTGCATGATAATGGGCAGATACTATTTATACTGACTTTTCAAAGGCTATCGATACTGCTTGTCACAGTTTATTGTTAGCCAAACTTCAATATATTGTTATTTATGGTATTTTTCTTGTATGAATAAAAAACTATTTAACCAGCAGATTAATATGCATGTTCAAATAAATAATTTGTATTTCAAGCAATTTATGTTAAATCAGATGTGTTACAAGGGTCACAGCTGGGCCTTTATTTTTACTTTTCATCAATGATATTGGAAATCACTTATGTAAATTTTTATTATATGCAGATTATCTTAAATTAGTTAAGCGTATTAAAATAATATCCGATTGTACACAACTCCAGGAAAATATGGATTTGACTGTACAATGGTACAACAAGAATGGGTTAGTCTTAAATATTGATAATCATAAAGTTGTGTTACACTGTATCTAAATCCCCATTGTGCTTTG